TCACGGCAAGGCAATGGGGCAAGGTGTAGGGAGGCGGGTCTTGGTGTGGTTCGGGGTGGGGGCGGGAACGTTGTAATATGAAGGGAGGGGGGCTTGGAGCGTGGCGAGTCGAGCCAAAGGCTCTGTTTTCAATTTCCAATGCTTTCCGAGGAGGCCAACGGAATTATTTTGTTTTCGCCTCCGCACCAATTGATTACGGCGTTAAAACGCAGTTAGCGAAAGCCCGGATTAATTTGGCGAGAGCTCCCGCGTCACCGCGCTTCCTGCGGCCGCTGCGAACGCGGCCTTCGCACTGCGCGACCACGCGCGGCAAATGTTCATGAAGATGGGGCGAACGAGGGCACAAGCGTCGTGGAAGGCCACATTAAGATTATATAGAGCAGACATTGTGAAATAATTTGAAAGTTCCATAGAAAACGTTCGGTCTGTACAAGAAAATGAGAATGCGAGAACAATGTAAGTAGTAAGCTGTAATGGAATGCGAGAACAATGTAAGTAGTAAGCTGTAATGGAAATGGGCGAGAACATGTAAGTAGTGAAGCTGTAATGGAATGGGCGAGGAAACAATTTGGTAATCAGTAAGCAGTAATTGTAGCTGTAATAGTTGAATGAGGGCATCATTCTAATGGCAAATGTATGATTTATTATGAATATTGTAAGTGAAACGTAGAGGAGATTTGGCGGATGGTTCTGTGGCACTGTTTCTGTCGTTTGTAGGTCGTTGTACGAAGCCATGGAATAAGAACGATACCCTTTGTCGCATGTCCCTCTATACTATCCTGAAACAACTTGAAGGCGATAAATTTATGAATTTATATGGCGACGGTGTGTCTTACTAGAGTTAATGCAAAGGGTGTGGTGAACTAGAAAACATGTACCTTAAACCTTCATTTTAATGGAGATTTAAACAAAGGTGTTGAATTTTATTGTATTACTGCAGGTGTAAATTCTATCTGCGTATGTTATTTATCCTATGATTACATTATATTTCTGCTAAGAATATTGACGATCAGGAAATATCCTCAAAACATGTTTGCTGTTATGAGCTGTAACATTGCAATATAATGTCATGCAATACAATTTTTCTTGTTGGAAAATGTATTCTTTCTACCAATACAATATGGATTTGCGCATAATTTCTGTGGTAACCACAATTTATTTTTGAGTTTTTGTAACAATGGTTCCTGCCATTTCACATACGCTAGAAGAACTACACAGATATTACATACTTATAATAAAGTTCGAAAGCTTCTCTATAAAGAGAAAAAAAAATCATTTATTCCCGAGATTTGATCCCGAGTACAGCATGGCAGACAATTTGTAGCAGAGCCAAGTGATAATTGCCGACAGTATTTGTTATCAATTAGCTGGAGAAAATTTCACAATCAGTAAAATATATTAATCTTTCATTATTATCCACCAATTAAATTTGTCTCTCTACATCTGTTCTTACTATCACAACAGTAGCACTAACTGTCCGCGGATGGCTTTAGGAAGATACTGAAGGAAACACATCTTTCTAAGAAGACAGGTCTGCCAATTGCCGGAGGCGCTCCTTCATCGCAAACCTTTGAGAGCGAAATTTATGCATGCATCTTATTTGTGTTGGCAGCGGTGAAGGGAGATTAGCACGCGCGGCTCACTTAGTGTTAGCCAACTTAATTTCTAAGAGCTAATGAACTTTACTCCCACTTTCGAAATGAACTCGCTCAAAATTCATGAATGTCTCAGTTTTTTATATTAACTTTCGCCTTAACAAAACTCATTTCGCCCTTTAATAAGCGCCGTTGTCTCGCCATCAGGCCGCGAGGGCCCGCGGCGGCGCTGCCGGCGCTGGCAAACAGACGCGAGGACTGCGTCCGTCTGTCGCGAGCGGCTGCTCTTGATGACTGCACCCGCAGAGCGTCCGCTTTCCTTGTTCTTCGTAATACTGCGCTGTTATATCAACTTAAAGCAGCCGAAAAGAGGAACGAAAATCCAACCCTAACGGCCGGCGCCTGGTAAGAATTTAATCGTCCGTCTTCTGTTAAGAACGATCGAAACAGATGAATTGTGTGCAAAAATGGCGTATTTGTACTTGTATTCCAAGAAATAATATTTTTGTTTGTGTGATGGTTCTGATCAGAAGTAGGAGTTTTGGAAAATTGTGAACTGGACGTGACCAAAAACACATTTTCTAATTATTGGTCTAATGCCTTTCACAATATAAAAATGTATAGTATATAAATACCTTTCTGAAGTGTGTTCGAAAATAGTGTTTCTATGATTCAACGCAAAATACACTTCAGTCTCACAGCTTCGTACGCCCATCATAATGATAAGGGTTAGGAAAATTGAAAACATAAGTTATCAAGCCCATTTACAGAACAATTGCCGACGAATTGGTATTCGAGAGGGGATTTAATTACCAGTATCATATAGCTACCAACAACACCATTATTCGTTCTCTTTAGGGACAATTCACATTATATTTTTACTTCCTCGCCTTACCATGGTAAAAAGAGAAAGGTTTGTAATCTTGCGCTGAAATATAGCATTTTGTTCAAAAAAACCATTCTTTCCAGAAAAATATTTTTTAATCACATTTTCCCAAACTAAAAGATAAATAATCTAAATCATTATACCATCTCAACTTCATCCCCTACGCGCCCCACACTTCAAAGAGCCTGCGCGTTTCCCCTTATTCTCAAAAAACAAACTGGATATATGTCGCGACGCAATTGGGAAACTCCACAGGTGACGTCGAAATGAAGTCGCGGCGGCGAGCCGCCGGCGCGAGTGCCGGAGCCGAATTCGCCCCAATCGCGGAGCGCGGGAGAAATTAATTATTAATTTGTAATATCGCGGGGAACATCGCTCGCCTCGCGCTGACTGCTCCCGCAGCCCCCGATGTTATTACGCCCACGCTCACGTGGGTGGGAGGGGCAGCGGCGGGGCAACCAACAGGGAGAGGGGATGTGGCGCGGGAAGGGAGGGGATGGAGACTTTTGAGGTATTGGAGTTACAGACTGGTTATTGCGTCTTTCTGTGCGCGTTAAATTATAACGTCGTTGATCCCTTAAGTTTAGTGCATGTTTTACTGCTTGTGGTGGCGGTGATCTCCCCCCTCAAGGATGAGGAGATCTTCTGCCGACGTAGTCCAAAGAATAGTAAATTTGATATGGTCAATGTAACTTGCTTCGCAAGCACATTTCTACGTAAACTCAACTGACCTCCATCTTCCGTACAGTAACTTAATACAGCTCGAAACCTGCCGATGCAATATACATCAAAGTACAGATACAGTTCGCTCTGACTCACTTCCCATGTGTACAACTAATAACTAGTGATCGCCCAGTAGTTAAAATTCGACCGAAATTCATTAAATTTTTATTTTGTAACATTATAGAGATTGTTTAGTCAAAGAGCAAATCTATATGATTATTGTATATAAAAAAATTGTCTTATTACGAGTGCTGCGGGCATATTCAAAAGCGTCATTAGCATGTGCTGTTTGCATTAATTCCCTACAATACCTATGAAATTTGAAAACCTGTCGCTGTCTACCAAATAAGGGCATCACTGGCCTTCTAGCCCCTCTCACATGGCTACTATGAGTTATGCATGCCCAATATGGGAAATGCAGCAAAATCTAATATAAACCTGTTGCAAACTGTACAAAATAAAGCGCTAAGACCATGAATTAAAGCGGCCATGGTTTATTTCGAACAAGCAAATCCACACGAACTGGAAATTCCGACAATAAAAGAAAGAATTACCAAACTGTCCGAAGAACTTTTTCACATCACTCCTCTCATCTCCCAGCACCTCCATTTTCAACGTTGGACGCACAGCAGAAACCGAACTTACGCATCAACTCACGCTTCCCTAAAGACAGATTCAGACCACCATAAAATAACCAGAAAATGGGCCTCAATATAACTTCATCGAATAATCATATCAACGATCAGTCTCTGTACTCTTAATATACTTTCGTAATAATTTAAAATTATTAATAAAAAAATAATAATCAACCAAAAACATATCGCCAATCCGTCGAGGCACCCACAGTTAGGAAATAAACCAAAATTATGTATGATATGTATTCACAACCCTAAAAAACTGTATGTTGAAACAGTGTAGACACATAAATTAAATTAAAACCTCAATGGCTGAAAATACGAGGCAAAGTACTATGGGGAACTTGTGAACACAAATAGAAATACGTTGCAACTTGAGTTAACTGTTTTCATTTCTCTCCTTGGAGAGTCCAGCTGAGAATGGGAAAGTGATTTCCCAGAAAGTTAACTCTAGAAGCTAATAAATTAATAAAAATTATTAAACATTTTGTGGAATTATTTCCTTTAGCTATATAGGGATTACCCCAAGATATCTACTATCACCATGTAATATAATATAATATAATATAATATAAATATAATATAATATAATATAATATAATATAATATAATATAAATATATATAATAGAATATAATATAATATAATTAATCATAATATAATATAATATAAATATATATAATAAAATATAATATAATATAATATAATATAATATCATAATATAATAAATAAATATAATGTAACGTAATACCATATCTTATATTTTTCTAAAACATATCTAGTTACTTAAACAAGTGGCATTTAATTTTTCGCACGTTCTGTAAAGTTTGCCCGAAATAGTTAAGCTCGCGAGCGAAGCAGGCTGTGATGGCCAGAGCTCGACATTTCGCTCCTGGCGGAGGAGCGCAGAGTGAGGCTGCAGCGAAAGCGTTAATTGAAGTGGAGTCAACGAGAACAATAAGGACGACGTGACATTGGTACTGTGTAAGAGGGGGGGAGATGGTTCGCCGCGCAGTTGCGCTCTGCGGTTAATAAAGATCGCTTTACAAGGAGAGTAGGATAGTAAAATGCAAGGAGCTGCGCTGCATTAACACGCAGAAAACAGCTTCGGCAAGTCATGCGTCGTGTGACGTTTATGAACACCGTTGGTACGACGTTTTACGAATGGCAGAAGTTGAGGTGGTGGATGGACATTACGAACAACAGTGAATGTTGTTGGAATGTTTCGATGCGGCAGTTGGAAGCACGCAATTTGAAATGACAGGCACTCTGAAGTGAAGAGGAAATGAAAATCGAGACGTAAAGAATATTACGCATTGATCACTTTTAGCGCTGAAGGATCTTCATTTGCAAAGACGCATGCTTGGGCGATTTTGAACGTAGACATAAAGAAGGGTCCCATAATATTAAAGTTTGAATTGTTTTCGCGTCTTCTCTCGAGCTTTAATGCGCCCTGGAGCTAAGTAAAAAAATTCGCCGTTGATCGTGACCCGGCATCTCATCTGTACCTCGTCGATCCCCCACGATATTACCCAGGCGACGCTTTGACATTTCGCTTTCTCTCACACCATCCCTTTTCGTCTTCATCAGGCGTAAATTCCACATGCATCAAATCGGAATTCGCCTGCCTGGCCTCCTTTGGCTCGACATGGAACCAGCTCATCA